CCTTCCATTTCTAAAGTTCCCCGTTTCAGATATTATGGCGCGAAAGCGGCCGCGGCAGAGCGTTTCCGATAGCCCTACAGCGCTGGAGAAAACCATTGCAAATAGTCTGGAATTTATCCAAGGATTTATCTACACAGCACTGCAGAAGCAGAAGGAGCAAGAGCAGGAGAAGGAGAAAGCAAAAAGCGCAAACACAGCCCTCTTCGAATGCATCGACCACCTCACAGCCGACATGTCACCGATGGAACGCCAGGAAGCTGTCCGAGAAATGAAGAGAGCTTGCGTGAGCATTTGCGGTAAAATTATTAATAAGTCAAAGGATGCAACGTGAAGTGTCTCTTATCAAATAGGTTATTGTTGTGACTGAATGACTTTTTCCAGTGTTACTGCACGACATTATTTTTCATGGAGGCGAGCGATTCCAGCTAACATTGTCGTGTAAAATAGACAAATGCTTTGGGATTTCTGCCCTTTTGTTACACTTCCTTTCCCAAGACCCAGATCCCTCTATAAGACAGTTGGTTTATATGGCAAATTGTTAGTCAAATACCGAATGGAAGAGATTCAGGGTAAACCAAAGCCGAAGAATAACCGCAAAACATCTGGAACAGTCATTCAGTATGCTTGCCTTCACATATGTGTAGGTTCTTATGCGTATAATATGCATTCGAATCAAATCGATCTTCGATGAAAAATCGAGCAGCGAAGATCTGGGTAATCAGAAGGCATTGCATTGGTAATTTTATGCATGGTAAAACTACACAGCAAACGCGATGAATCCACGCAACAGATCCAGTAACTTTGCATGATGCAAAGACCGAAAGCTGAAATTACGCAGAAATACCGCCCATCCTGGGACGACTTCTTTTGATATTTCAGCATTTGTGCTGTTTTGGCCTTTTGGGGCTAAATTTACAGTTCGCCTCGTCCAGCTTTAAAAATTGGCGAACAAGGTCGCTCTACATGCAGATTTGTTAAGCCCTCAGTTTCCTCTCTGAGCATTCCAGAACACAAATACCAATTTGAACAGTGATATTGTTGCAGTTTATGCTTTAAAGTGTACTGGATTTCATCGTTTGTGACCTCAGCATTTGCGTCTCTCGTTATGTCCGTTGTACTTAAAATATTGTTCATTAATTTGATGCCGTATTTATTGATTTGATTAAAATATGTTCCCCAAAGTTTATTAAACACACATCGCAAAATCCAGATTGCATTCGCACGAAAAAATAATTGGCCAACGCACGGGCTGTCCATGCCAAGATGCGTTTTTTGCATTGAGATTTTGCCGCTACCGGTATCGGTTTTTCCGGCAAATCCTTCTAGCTAAACAAATTAAGACTAGCCGCCAAAATTGGAAGGGAACATCCCCTTAAAATTTCAGTTTTCTAGCTTCCCTGGCTCCTGAGCAGCTTACTGGAAAAAATTTTCTACGAGCCCGCAATCGGATACCACGCATACCCAATGTCTGGGTTTGAGCTCGTAGAGACTTGGACGGGGAACATCTTAAAAATACAGTCTTTTAGCTTTACAGATTCTCGAGGTATGAACTTACCCGAGAAAAAGTTTGGCGAACCCGTGCGTAGGTACTACGCATGATCGAGGGCCGGGTTTGAGCTCGTTGAGACTAATGTGGACGGCGAACACCCTCTTAATAGTCTTCTAGCATCTCAGATCCTCGAGTTATGGACTTACCCGGGAAAAATTTTGGCTTGCCCGTACGCGGGTACCACGCTTACCCAGGGGTTGGGTTTGAGCTCGTTAGTACCTACTTGGACGGGGGACGTCCCCTTAAAATTTCAGCTCTCTAGTTTTTCTGGCTTGCGAGTTAACAGCTTACTCGTAAAAAACTGGCGGGTTCTCACGTGGGTATCACATCCGGGGGCTGGGTTTGAGCTCATTAATATCTACTTGGACGGGGAACATCTCTTTAAGATTTCAACTTTCTGGCATCTCAGATCTCCGAGTGATACTCGGGAGAAATTTTTGCGGGCTCGTACGCGGGTACCGCGCTTGCCCGGGGGCAGGGTTTGAGCTCATTGGCACCTACCTGGACG